ATCGTAACCAGCGGGCTCCGCCTGCCCTCAAAGGGGTGCGGTAGGCAGGAGCTCGCTTCATTTTAGGGGGCGAGAAACTGTTGGAAAACCCAGCTTGTAAGAGAGAGTGTTATGCTCGGTAAGGCAGACTAGGTCAGAGGAACATCTCGAGAGACATCTGTATGAGCCATGAGTTGCTTGGACCTGTGGTGGTCCAGCCTATTTGCAACTGCTGGTTCAGCTCACCCTTGTCTGCCTAAGTCTCTTCAGGCCCCATACCTCCCTCCAGCAACGAGCGCTTCACAGTAAAGCAGCTGTGACGGCGGAGAGCATCTGCTGCTCTTCTCTCTCTCTGCCTTCAGCAAAGAGAAAATCTCTGTGTAGGACTTGCAAGCAGAGGTGTTTCTCCTTAGCGTGTGGACTCGTTTCAGCAGAGGCTGCCGATGAGAGGGGCGGATGGGTGCAATGTGGTGGTGTGCCACAGCCTGATGACCTGGACTTTCTGGAGGGATGGTGGTGCTGTGCCTTGAGCCAGCTGTGGGACAGGAGTGCCCACGTTCATGAGACTGGCTGCAGTGGGAAGTCTCCCATTGGAAAGTGACAGCCTTGCTTTGGCTGGAGATGCTCTGTGATAACTGAGCATTGCAGGGGCCCCTGTGGTGCTCCAAATCCATCAGCAAAGAGAGAGCATGGTGGTGTTGCCTGTTGTTCAAATTGCTTTTCTGTCCTCTTGCTCCGAATACCCTGCTGCTCGCTGATGGTGAGGTCGGTCTTGGGAAGACCAGAGCTGTCTATTGCTGGCACTTGAGCCTCTGTGTAGTTCACAATCAATACAAGGATTTCTAGGATCAGCAAGTAAGTAGGCAGTAATATTAGGCAATCCTTAGGGGATCTGTTTGGTTTCAAGACATGCCAGCCTTTTGTGAAAATGTGTACCTGCATCCCCCAGCAGAAAGAGATCTCGGTTCGGACCACAGTGGTTCTTGCGTAACTCACTTGTGGCTCCTTCTGTCGCCTTGCCTGTTGCTCTGGCAAATGTGTCTCGCACGGATCGAAGGCTGCTGGGGAAGATGCACGGCTGTGGGGAATGCAATTGTGCAATACAAATCCTCGGTGTGTAATGCATATGCATGGACTGATGTGACTTGGGATTGCATAAGTGACATTTTTGTATCTTTTTTGTGGCTTGGGAGTTTTTTCTTCTGGAGCCTTGCACTCCTTCCTGTTTGCCACGATATATCATTATAATAAAGGCGTTACCAAACCTCTCTTCTGGGTCTTCTTGCAAAAACTAGCATTTAGTATAGATGTAAGCCTTCACCATCCAAAGACTTTAGATGGTGTTGCCTGGACTTACACGTCCCTGTGGCATATCAGATGCCTCTGTCTGGCTGCTGGGGGCTGCACAGGTCTGACACGCTGCATTAAAGTACCTGGCTCACAGAGCTGGGTCTGTCCCTCGTATCCTCAGGTCGCAGAGGCCCACTAACGCAGGGTTTGGCAGAGCTCGAGCCTTCCAGTTGAGCAGAGAGCCTGCTGCAGCCACATGACTGGCTCGGGCTGGAAAGCAAAGGATTTTCCATTAAAGTCAGCTGGCATACTGTTTTTTCCGTTCCTTTTGGCCTCTGAACCTGCATCATTATGGTCTGAGTAAACTTCCCTGCTTCCCTTCCCCTTCGGCTGCGTGTTACTAGGAAGCTAGAGGGGAGCAAACGGAGTTTGAGGCGGCCGTGCGAGCTCGGCTCTGCGCGCTCCTCAGTGCGTGGTTGCGGGTGTCGTCTTGTCGAGCAGAAGGGAATCAGTGTGGGGAGGGAGAGGTCTTTGCTCCTGCTGCTCCCAGAGCTGTTCAGTGAAAGGGATTTCTGGGCAAAAACAAGCGAGTCGGCAGCGTGACACCCGGGGCGAGCCCAGCTGCAGGCAGCGATGCTGCGATTGCAGCAAGTCACCCTCTTGCTGCCCTCCCCCTAGATGCTCTCCCTGCCTTGGGTTATCCCTACGACCCCCCAGCACTTGTGGCACTGGCGTGATGGTGGGAACGGAGCAAAGATGAGAAGTGTCCGGTGAGGAAGGACTCGTGCTGGAGCAGGGGTTCTCCGCCTGCGCTTGCCGCGAGAGCCAGCGCAGCAGCGGAGGGTGTGCGGCAGGGACGGGGAGCAGCATGGCGAAGCGGGGTCCTTCCTACAGCCCCGGTGGCGCAAAGCATGGGAGGGAAAATCTCGCAGGGACAGAAGGCGAGAGGAGCTGAAGGTTGGCTAGGGAGGCGTGTGGCTGCTCTGCGAAGCTGCGAGCTCTTGCGCAAGCAGGCGGTGGCAGGAACACGAGTCTTCCTGAGGAATTCAGGTCGGGGGGAGGTGGCCAAAGTTTGGGGAATTAAAATTTTTCTTGTCTTCCCAGGCGAGGCTCTCCTCGACCCAACCCCGCGGTGCTCCTGAGCACGTCCCGTGGTAGCTGCAGGTGCCACGGCGTGGGTCCAGCGCCGGTGTTTCCTCTCCGCGCTGCTGCGGTGCCTGCCGGCAGCTCCTTTCTGCTCCTTTTCATCCATGCCCAGCTCTTTATCTCGGGGCAGCTCTCTAGGCTGGAGACGTGCCAGCAAGCCAATCTGGGCTTCTGTGCAAACTGGGTATGAATCAGCCCTGACCTTTGCACGCACTGTGTGCCTGACGGAGATGTATTGGGCCTCTTTTGGGCAGGTTCCCGTTGCTCTCCCCAAGGCCTTGGTAGCCCCTTGCCTGCAGCAGCCGGGGCAGGGCAGGGCCAGCGCCGGGGAGCGATCTCGTGAGTAAAGCCTGGAAGTTGTCCCTGCGTCGGAGAGGGTCGAACGCCCCTCCTTTTTTTTTTTTGCAAAAATATTTGTTGACTGCTATAATAGGAAAAATAGGACTTTTTCTCGAGAAAAGTCATTTCTGACAGTAGAAAGCGAATAAACAATTTCAAGGAAAAGTGAGGAGCTAAATGACTTATGTAAACCTTGCTCTGGCCAAATGCTTTTCTCGGTTTTTCTTGGGTTGTCCTCCTGCCTGGGGGGGTTGTTGGTTCACTGACGTGGGCAGCTCTTTTCTAAGAGACTGGCGGAGCGGCGGATAGCCCGGGCTGTGCCCAGGGCCCCTTCCGCGCCTTGGGAGACGAAGGGCGCCGTGCCCGCCCTGGAGGCGGCCGCGAGTTGCCTTTGGGTGCCCGCCGGCCCCCCAAGCCGCCGCGGGGGGCAAACAC